GGCCTGAGACGCCACAGACGCGCTGGTGTTGGCGGTAGATTGCGTTTCTACTTTTTGTTACAAGGGTTTTTTTGAGGGTGTACACGTGTTTCTCGGCTAAACACGCCACATTCTTCTCCACATACCAGAAGTCGGCGGGGGAATTTTTCGATTGTATTGAAAATCCTTTATGGATTTTCACCAGGTAATAAATATATTAAAAAGGATAATTTTAGTCTTATAACAATGAATTAGTCTTTTGCAAATATACCTTATTCGAACAGTCTTTATCGCTTTTAAAATTTAAAATACTTAATAATTACATAAATTATTCATTAAAACATGGCTATTACCATTTCAACAATAAAAAACATGCATTAAAAATAACAATTTTATTTGTAGAAAAACCACGCGAGAGAAACTTCTGGAGAATACAATCTAATGCAATTCACAAAAAAATATCGCAATCAACGCTCGTTGCTGCAATCTAGTTGGAGTTGTTCATCCCGCCATAAAATGGTCGTCATCCGGCGGTTTAGAAATCGCTTCGGAATTCTTTTCTCGCGGCAATAGACAGCCGCGCAACTAAAGGACCGCTAACCGACCATTCCCTGTGAATACCTTCAGAATTCTTTACGATGGATCGGTATGCGATCGAAGCTTGTTGAACTAGTGTACACTCCACGTGTCACTCTTCAATTCGCGGAATTGTTTCCAGTGAATCGAAGTTTATTAGATTTAGTCTTTGGTTCAGTAACTTATACTGAAGGACAAAAATTTCTGCATTGGTTAAAAAAAAGGTAGGAAAGTAAGTTCGTATTTTTGAAAATGGATTTTAATGTACACTGTAGTTATTTGAAATTTTCGTTTTAGTTTGAACTGAACAAAAATTGTTATAAATTTAATTCTGTCTATTCTGTCTGATATTAAACTGAACTGGGTAAAATTGATTGATGAAATTTAGTTTTTATTAATTATAAACGCTTTGTTATATAAGTGAAACTAAAATAATTTGATGGATTTGGCATTGATCGTGGAATCATACCTAGAGGGGAACCAAAATTAAATAAAAAAATAAATTTTAAAACGTAAAATATATTTTCATTCGCTAGACTATTTCGTTAGGTCCTAACAAATGAAGATAATTAAATACTGAAAAAGATTAAACAAAATAATATATTAATCTAATTGAAGTTTCGGAGTAAGTTTAAAACATAATTCAATGATTTCCTCTTTTCTTACGCACAAACATATGTAGGGGTGTACTTTGTAAAAACGTATAATTGAAGAGGATAACGTAAAATTTATAAAATTACGCGAAAAACGTGCTACTGACTAGCACGAAGAGGATTAATAATATGAAGTAAATTGTTTTCAACACCGCTAAACACACTTTGTGAAAACAGTCATATTAACGAAATATGGAATTGCCTTTCGCCTGCGATAACTTAGGATTGCCCAAACGACTTAATCTGGATTAAGTTGTGAAGTTTCAATAAGTAACTTTATTAATCGTAGTAACGGTACAAGCGAATTGCTTAATATGTTACTGTATAATTATCTTCTTAATACGTTGAGGGAATCGTTTACCAGACTTTATAAGGAAACAGAAAAACTATAATATATACTACTAACTTTCCGCCCGCGGCTCCGCTCTCGTTGAAGCCCTTTAAAAACTATATAGATTTTGTAAAGAAAGATATTTTCTATCCTTACAACACTATTATCAAATTAAAAAAACCTATGTCCTTTCTCAGGCTCTAGACTATCTGTGTACCAAATTTCATTTAAATCGGTTCAGTAGTTTTGGCGTGAAAGCGAGACAGACAGAATTACTTTGGCATTTATAATATTAGTATGGATTATATTTTATTTATACATTAGAATAGTATTCAGAAACTGTTCCAAACGTCTTGGGAAAAGGTCCAATTTACTATTTTGTTCCCCTATTTTTGTATGTTGTTTATATCTGTGCATAAATGAGTGAGTCTGTGTGTGTATTTTTTAATCGTGGTTCCGAAAGTAAGCGTCGCAATGATATTGGCGTCTTAGATTCAAGGCCCAAATTTTATTTATTTATCTAAGGAGATACAAACGTAAGTTACAAAACATGTGTTAAAAAAGAAAATAGTAATGAAGATTAATACAAAATTTTGTAACTAACCTCAAACTACAAAACATTAACAATGGATCCCAAACTAAGCAGAGCTTGTTTCTTGGGAGCCAGAGCTGCCAGATTTGCGATAGGTGTTTAGTTACATCGTGAATATTCATTGCTATTAACAAAAATAAAGTTATTAAAATAATTTTAAACAAAAAAAAAAAACTACTTCAGACAGGAAACTAAAACATTGTCGGCACCTATAACATTTGAGGATTGCCCTCGATTTCTCTGGGATGCCATCATCAGATCTGGGTTTCATTATCATGGTACCACCCTTGGGATAACACCTTTCCAACAAAAAAAGAATCATCAAAATCAGTTCATAAATGACGAAGTTATCCCAGAACACACATAAATATAAATATATATGCATAAATGCATAAATGACTGTTTCTGTGTGTGTGTTTTTAGCCATGTTTCCGAAAGTGAGCGTCGCAATGATAACATACGTCGCAAAGATACGAGCGCCTTAAGCCCGCGGCCGGTAGAGAAATCCGCGTGTCGTAAATGCGTTCGGTGCGCGATATAATATGGTAACATTACGTGGTCTCGCCGTAATCCAAGGTTGCGGAGTGAAAGTGGGGGGGTCGGGCCACTTTCACCGCCGCACGCCGACGCTACGCGTATGCCAAAGATAAATTATCAATTAGCCGCTCGGCTTCGACCGCTCGTGCCTTTTTATTCGCCGATTAGACGAAATTCACCAATCTAATGGATGTGATAGAACGTATTGTATATATTCGATTACGCGTTCTTTTTAAAGTGTTTATAGTCCATGTTTCCCTGGTAACATATAGGTATATACAGCGTGTTGTTACCATCGCGACAATAAATGAACTCAAGTCTAACGCTCCTTGCCAATAATCATAAAAAAATATTAACGTTAAACAAAATCCATAATTTAAAAAAAAATATTTTTCAAACAAACGAGTTAAATAAAAAAGACACAAAATTTGTAACATATTATACAACTCGCGCCACAGCGTCACATTACAAGCCTCTCCTTCTAACTGTATGTTTTGTCTCTTTTAAATCCATTCAACCCATTCATATGCTTTGTGACCTTTACAAATGAACTTTACGTTACGCTTTTATAGGTAAGGATGTTCTAAAATTCTTTGTTTTGGAAAATTTAATAACTCTGTAAATATTGATGTTTAAAGAATTTAAATGTTTAATACAAGTTTAAAAAGTTATCCCCTATATGTGTTTTCATTTATTGTCGCGATGGTAACGACACACTGTATATCTCAAAGTATATGTTAAACAAATATGTTTCAATCACCCCTTGCAAAGCTAATTCGCATCGGTCTCGTCATCGTGACGAAGATGGAGTGAAAGCAAACACAAAAATCATTTCTATTTATATAAGTTACCATAAGTAAGTGTGACTATAGTAGTAAACTCATTATTATCAGAAAATAATTAGTATTTTATATTATTTTATAATAATTGTTATTACCTTAATGGTGGTTCGGTAATACCATTCACGTATATGGATTTTTTCCAAAAGCTAAGGTTTTCTGACTTATGATTAATTTTATTGTTAGAACTAGTGCCCGTGTGCTAGCTTAGGCGCGTTACTCAGAACACACGAGTGGGAAACCCGTAGCACTGAAATGTTAAAAAATAGCATTCTAAGTATCGTGTCGACGAACATTGCCTTCAAATTATATTAGAATACAGCAAAGAGGTTTGAAGGTGAATAAAAAAACCTCTCTATATCAGAGTTTTACATGACGTGACATCACCTGGAGACCTTTCACACAGTTTCGATGTTCCCCGAACTGTTGCGACATGAACAGGGCTGGATTTAGGGGAGGGCAATCGAGGCTACAGCCCCGGGGCCTCCGCAAAAGAGCGGCCCCCACAATAGAGACTTCGGAAAAAAAAATTCAAATTCAGACTAGTAAACACTAGAAAACAACTTTTCCTTTCATATTTTTTTCACGTTTTACCTTTACCTACAGTAATTTGTACAAATATGATTACATTAAATAATAATAGAAATCAAGGGAAAATAATTTGGGTCAAGCGGTCTCCACTCCTTTGTTGCACCGAGGCCTCCAGATCTCTAAATCCGGCCCTGGACATGAAACAATGTTTGTCTGCCGTGATATTTTTGTTCCAGCGAAAGTTGTCATACAAAAAGCGCGTCTGTAAACAATAGAAACGATTTCGCTTGTCCGATGGTATCGCGTTGACATATGCAGTTTTTACACAAGAACAAAATTGAGGACCAAATAAGCATCACCACGATATAATTATTCGATTTGTTTAGGGCAACATTTATTTCTTAAGATGAATCTTTTCGACGAGAATAAGATCTTTATTTCGTTCTATACTGAGATAGAGCCACGCAACAATACACTGGCTCGTCGGAGAAAGAACCTTCACGTAGAACTCGCATTTAGAAGTATTTATAATTCTGGTCCGGTGAGTGAAGTAGCAACGGACTACATGGATGGTGGCAATAACTCAGATGACGATTAAACACCAACTCATTTATCAATCTCTCTAGAGAATACTAGAATAAATTGTTTACAATTATTCGTCAATAAATATTTAATAATAGTTTAATGTGTATAATATACGAAAAATTTATCTAAAGTATCTGGTTAGAAAATTGGAAACCTGGCGAAGAGATGGAATTATACAACAAAAATGTAAAACTTACTAAATTACATATTTGTTCACACTATTAATTTACGTTTTGAAACTAGACGTCGACAATCACACGTTATGCACTAAGCCACTACTGCAATTTTCAGAATATTAAATTCACTTCGAAGAATATTACTATAGGAGAATCAATGTGAATGTATGACTTGAATAAACGTTTACAATTCCTCTCCATATGACCGTAAGCTCACAAAGAAGGTCGATGGACCTTTCTTATGACCCTGGTGGTATGCAAAGTGCACAAGTAAACAATGCAGTATGTTTCTAAACTTTGAACTGCAAGTAATTCGTTGCGAGTATGGCGTCTTCTATCGGGAAGGGAAATCATACTTTTCGTTATATTTTAACTAGCCATATACGTTATTAAATATTGCAAATAACTATTAACATACATTAAACTTATTAGTTGTTAGTAATGTTTAAATAGTTACCATATTATATGTCATATATTATTGTTCAATAGATGTTGGTTTGTAATAATCGGTAATTCCGAAAGAGTCCTTATTGTTACTTTTAATGAAGAAAAGATGCATTATTCAAGATTGACTTTGGTTAGGCCAAATTTATTCCAGCAGTTAAAATATTTGTAGATCAAAATAGCACAACAGCACTAATATATAGATAAATTCTTTTTATCGATATGTAAAGAAATATGAGATCACGACGTCGCAACTCTAGTGGGTTGTGTAAACTGTAAAATTCCCACCGGACGAGCACTTACGGAGGAGGCCGTTAAATAAATTTTCATTGTAACCAAGGAAGCATTTGCACGAAACATTAAATTTTCAATGATCCTGTGCTCGTATAAAAATCTTTAGGCGTCGCTTCCTACAGGCCTCCTCTGCCGGGGTGCTTTTGACTTATAAAAATATATTTTTGTGAAACATTATTACAAAGTGTTATATAATAAATAATAATAATAATGATTATATAATTAATATATTTTATTTAAGTTTAAAATAATTAATATTGTTTTATAGTATAATACACTGTGTCATTTTTTAAAATAGTAAGAAACAGTTATTTTTATTTTATTTATATAGTTATTGTTATTTTTATATTTATTAACAAAAAGAACCTTAGAACACTGCGATTGCGAAGTATAACAGTGTAAAAAAGTTAAGCGTAGTTTCATGACCTTTAATTTATTCTCAAATTGGTGAACTCTTTGTTTTAATGTTTAATATGTGTTAGTACACCTGGACTGCCTAATCTACGACTATTTATAATGGTCAATACATGCAAAGGGAGCTTATAGTGCTCGAAACACGGAAATAAAAAAGTACACTTAATAAAATCGGTTAAAAAAGATATGTACATTTCACGTAAGCGCAAAATTCAAAGTCGGAATAATATTCCAGGGTCGTCACTGCAGTTGCCGGGCATCGTGCACGTCGATCGCAACTGGTTCGCGACGTCCAAAGACCCCATCGGCACAGTGGTGACGCGAGTTCACAACGAGATTACCGGCAATGAGACGGTGAGGTACGGTCTCGAGACGAGTGGCCCGCCAGCGCCGTTTAAAATCGACTCCCAGACTGGAGTCGTCACGGTCAACGACACGCTTATTGATAAGGTAACCACCTGTCACTGTTTCTTTCTCTCTGTCTCGGTCTCTCTCCCTCTTTCTCTCTGTATTAATTAATTTAATGGAGCTCACTCATTCTTGATAATCCTGTTAATTAGGGATGGATATATTTATCACGCAAAGAACACCAGATAGTCCATTCCTATCTTACGGATGGTAAATAGCAACGCATCCGTTAGTTCATTCGTATAATAAACTAGCGGACCGGGGAGACTTTGTCCCGTACACACAACTTTAATCCGATAACAACTTAAAAATAAAAAAAAACGAATTGTGAATCTAAACCATCCAGGGCGCCAACCAAACGCATTCAAAAAAATCATTCAAATCTGTCCAGCCGTCTAGGAGAAGTTCAGTGACAACACACGTATAGTAGAATTATATACATAAAGATAGGAAATCTATACTTTAAGTACGCAATTGGGAACGATTTTTGTTTCAAATAATATCTATCGTAATTGATACTTAGGAATTCTCAAAAGCGATTTGTAAATAATTATAACGTCTAAAATAAAATTAGTTAATATTGATTCTATATAGAACAACAATCACACATACCGCAATTGTACATATTTTCGCAGATTCGTAAGGAATACAAAGAAATCAAGAATCAATGTGCCAACTTATATAACGAGTGAAGTTCGTAATGATATTGACGCTAAACCATCTGTTCAAGTTTAATTTCAAATTACAGCCGATTATGGAATCGGTGCGTCAAACGAGGTCCAATTGCTCAATTAGAGATTTGAAGCAATCACCCAGAACACTGAACTCAAACGTATTACTAACCTTTGGCGCGTTGTACGAATATTGGATTATAGTCCTGTCAAGTTATCCCAAAAATAGGCGTATGGTTGCATTAATTCTCAGAAAGCCGAATATTGGTTTGTTTGCTTATATCATGAATATAAATGGAATGCCAAATTCCTAAATCTAAAGTACGGGTTTGGAGCAAAAAAAAGATTCTCAAAAACGGGTTATTGTTATTTTTGAGCACAACGGTAAGTTTAACCATGAAAATACATGTAGTAGACTGTAGAGCATACAATTATGTATAAAAATTGTTGTTACACTTTTTTCCCTAAAATCTACCGTTTTTGAGGTATGAAACGATTCAATAGTTAAAGATACAGGTAGAATAAATGGCACGGTGTTATATTGTGCTCTTGTTTTTCTTTAAATTCAAAACTGGCCGGCTGTAATATTTAATGACATAATTTTCTATTTAATGAAAAATGGAACTCAAAGTCAAAGTCAAAAGTAAAAATTTCTTTATTCAACATAGGCTTATTTTAAGCTCTTATTGAATGTAAAAAACTACCACTGGTTCACTAAACTAGACCTTCTAACTTCATGATGATGAAAGCTTTATGAAACGTAATTATATTATTATATACGTAATTGGACAATTCTTCTCCAGAACCATAATCGTCTACCAGAACTTCAATGTTGATTGTTATGGAATTAAGATCAATTTTAGTAGATAATTGCAATTTTTGTCTGATGTACATATTTTTATGATAAAACTTACCATTGGGCTGAAACATGTCAAAAACATATTTTTGGGAGCTTTGACCTAAAATAACGTTTTTTGTACATGCCGGATCGATTGAGACTATTTTTTTATGTGAAAAGCTGTCAAGCGAGCAGACGTTTCACCTGTTGTTAAGTGAATACCGCCGCCCATGGACATCTGCTACACCCTAGGATTCCAGATACATTAACAACCTTTTGAAAATTGGGCTCAGGCCTCCTCACTCACCAGACGAAACGTGACGAAAGACGTCGTGGTACTTACCCGGTCCCAAACCCGTGGGTTCTGGCTAGCCTACCGGTTCTGCGTCTAATGTAGCTTTAATAGTCTCGGGACTGGAAAGAAAAACATCAGTTAATACAAGATACAAGATACTTACGCGGACGAGCCTGCCCATTCGTACAACAGCCGAGGCTGCTGCATTTCCCTACCACCGTAGACTATCGACATTTCTTTTAAATTGATGATAGAAATAATCAAACAAATATTCAGCTTTCTGAAAATAACTATAACCTTTAATGTAACCTGAAATATAACCTTATTTTCAAGCCTTAAAATATAACACTTTTTCCACTGACTCAATTTACTTCTAATTATATATAACGCTTATTTTTGTAGCCAGTTATAATTTTGTGATATTTTTGTGAACTTAGCCTCTTCTATAACCTGGTGAGAATTTAATTTATATCCCCTTTTTACAGACTAGCGATCTAGCTCAATATCTAATACTAAGTTCATAAAGACAGTTAATAAAGCATTCTTAAGCTACATGGAAATGAGTTCTTAGGGAGGCTTATTTTTATTCAGACACTGCTCCAATACTCTAATAATAAACGTTTACCGTTACAGGAAAACCAATCCTACTCATTATGGGTGACGGCCGACGACGGCTCAATACCGCAGCGTCTAGAAGTCCTGGCCACAATAACAGATAGTACGGGCCAAAGACCGAAGCTACCTCGCCCACCGCCATTCGGCCTGCCAAACTACCCGAACATACCTGATCTGTCTAATCTACCGCATCTGACAAAGTTCACAAGGACCACGCCGAGAACAACCAAAGCGACCAGGGGCTATGTCGAGGAGGTAACGGTACCTGAAACCACCCCTGAATTTAGAGCACCCCAGGCTGACCCACCTCAGAACAAAGATCACGATGAAATCAAAAACAACACTAAAGTCAACGAGACGCAAATCGGGAGTGACGTGTCGCTAACAGTTATACCGCTTGTCGCTATTGGAGGTTTAGTAATCATAGTGGCAGCTGTCATTATCTTCGTTTGCAAGAAGAATAGCTCCAATGGATCGAAAAGCAAAAAGGACGATATGGTAAGTGGAAACACGTTTTAACTCTCAAAGCATCACCATGAGTAATGACGGCATTCGAATGAATAATGAGGCATTGTCGGTAACCGTTACTAAGCATTTAGTAGATGGAACATTAGAATATATTGATAAATCAAATACAAAAGCCTACACATAAGTATACTGATACCATTTAATATCTATCTAACGGAAATAAATAAATCATATACATGGTTTGATATTAATATTAGTTAGCCTACATCGAAGTCTAAAACACGACGTTGTCATTTGTAATGTTTTCTTTATTTTTTTAGTTATTTAACGTTAATAAAACAACGAAATAACATAACAATTATATAGTTTTCCAATAAGAACAATATTGTTAACAGTTTTTGTTGGTTATTTACGAGTACTATTAATATTTATTAACATATCCTATGTATAGTACTAACATTTTAAAAATCTTAAATTTCACGAGTTGGACTCCAGAATTAAGTTGGCCGTCGTATTTTATTACTTCATTTTAGTTTTAGGCGGGACGCAGGCATTATTTGCTCTAAATTTAAATTCTTTCAAATTGACATGTTGTATTCACCCCTTCTAAGTCATCCCCATTAAAGTAAGGCTTCATTTAACGCGAGCCATGTTGTCCACAGAGCAAAGACTCGAGTGGCATCGTCCTTCAGGACGCGTCAATCAACATGTGGGACAGACCACGTGCTTATTCTAACCGATACGAGTCCTGGGATAACGGTCATTTGCAGGTCAGTCCCTTGACCACTATTATATGGACTGCTATAATCTAAGCAGTTTAACGCCAAACAAATAAACATTCCCTTTGATTAAAGTATTTGATTATAGCAATTACCTGCCAAAGTACGCGTACATCGTTCAATCTTCTATATATGAATACGCAGCAACCCAATTTGTAAAACTTGTCTTTATGTAATGATTATTTATGCCCGTGCGTTTGTGACCGTTTTTCCAGCAATTTGTTGAGAAATAGCACGGGAATAATCAAATTATCAGTCTACACACTAACATGCAGGCTGTAATTGAGGGTTGACAATTATACAATCACACGATTGTATAATTGTCAAACCTCACATACACACGCTTTTAATAAAAATTTGAGTCACATAATACTTAATGTTCAAATTTAGTAGTTTGATTTAAAAACTAACCCTTAACAAAACTGGCGAAATATAATATTAAGCAATAGATATTTTCTAATTCCATTGTCTATGTCCCTATATTTGAAACTACTAAACATAGTCTAATTTTAAGATAAAATCAACATTAATTAGGGTGGAGTCTTAATTGAGCAAGATTTACGCAAATTTCTACCTAATTAACATCAAGTTATATATCATAACTATCCTTTTGAACCTTATCTACCCCCAAACATACGTAGTTTAAAGTCATAGAGTCTTCTAAAGAATATACTACCTCATGACTGCAAATATTAGGTACGTAGCTAAGTAAAGTCTACCCGATACACTTAATAACCACATACTACTTATTTATATTTATGTGCATTTATTAATATATGTCGATAACTATACCTGTTCTATAACTATGTTATAAATATTTAGCGTCTACTTTTTTTGAAGTAACGTGTTATGCAATTTGGTTACTATTAAAGATTGTAATGTTTTTTGAAGAGGCCTAAGAGGCCTTGATACCTCTTTTGGCGCGTTTGGAAAAATTTATGAGGGTTTTAAGGGAAAATTTTTACGATGCGCCCGCACACTGTCTGCCAAAAGAAAAAAGTGACATAATGAAGTTAGTTGCGTTAGTAGTGTTAAGTAAGAGAGAAACGAGTTAGTTATAAACACAAATTATGGAGATATATGGTTAAATTGAATAACTTTCATAATAAACAGTAAAAACACGAATACAGATTGGTTAACAATTTACAATAATTTCGAAATGTTTATTGTTATTCATAAATAGAAAGAAATACCGAAGTATTTGCTATGAAAATGTTCAGAGCATTTTATTAAATTTACAATGTTTAATGCTCTGTAAATTTCCATGATAACATCAATGTTGGCTCTTTACAATTCGATTTGAATTATTTCAGTTTAGAAACTTAACATAAAGGACGGATTAATTTATGAGCTTATAAAATAGCTTACGCTAAACTTCATGTTACTTTCCAGCGTAACGACAAACATCTTTGTTTAAAGAAGATAAACCAAGTTTCTTAACTTGTTATTACGTAGCCCTAGCGGCTTTTGGCGTACGATTTGATTATGAATGGATTTCATTCGCATTCGTTGTAGTACAACAATTTTAATCTCCTATTAAAAAAATTAAAAGCATTTGCAATAAATATATGACTTATTGTAAAATTGTATACAATTCAGTAACGTATATCATACAGCAGTCGCTAGTATTAAAATAATCTAAAGGATAAACTATAAGACTAATAACCATATTGATCTTAGTGTGAATACGTCTGTTGACGGAAATTAGTTCAGAGGAAGTCGAAATGACTTATGCCCGGTTCCTGTATTCAACTAAAGGACCTTAGTTACATAACTTCGTAGCTTTCATAACAAGTCGTTGTAACGACTTCATAATGACAATGTAACTAACGGCCATTCGTTGAACTGGGCTTAAATGTCTTGTCACCCTTATGAAATGTTATGTTCAATTGAACGAGTGTCTTATTAATTCATCACCTAATTTTTTTTAATACATTTCCCTTACATTAGGATAGCATTATCCTTCGTTGTAAAATCGTTTTCGCAAACATAAATTTCACGTGGACAAATACCCAGATGCGAAACAACTATCTGTGGGTCGCACAAATAATAGTTCAATAATAGTTCCCGTGTGGGAATCGAACCCACGAGCCCCGACGCCGAAGCCAACTTAGCAATTGCGCCACGGAGTCATCAAACCTAATTTAATTACGCTTTGTTTTATCTTCACAGCTCTCTGAGGAAACAACGATCAGCAAGGAAGACCCACCCGACGAGTGGGAGTTTCCAAGGCATCGGCTCAAAATCTTTAACATCTTGGGAGAGGGCGCTTTCGGCCAAGTGTGGAGAGCGCAGGCTACTGACATCGATGGTGAGTTATATTGAAAAAGATTCTCGTCGTTTTTAAAACTTGAACTTGGTTATAAGCTAAGATGTCAGCGTTTTTGTTTTTTTTTTGGATGTATTATTATATCTGTTTGTAGGTTTAATATATGTTAGTGTAGTTTTATGTCCAGTTATCCTGCATGGTAAGTTAAAATACAATTAGTATCTAATTCATGTGTATTCGCTTCTCTTGTTATTTAGGTTTCTTACTACCTCAACCTCCGTACCTCGTCTAATTACCGTTAGGTTAGATATAACGTAGAGATATATGAATAGATAATATATAGAGTTATGACTGATCGAAAATGCATTTGGAATTAAGTCCTTTGTACAAAGATTTGTTTTTTCGTGCATAAAGTTTTATATAAATACGATATAGGCCTTCTCGCCAGTAATGAACGCTACAACACACATTTGTATAAAAAATGCCCTAAACACAGAACCATTCTAGGAAATCATTCATCGTGGCTCCGATTGAGGAAGAAGGAATAGAATTGCCTAGGGTATCGCTAGGGGTCATCGCTTTTAACAAGTAACAGAATTAAATCGGGACAAACAGAACCTTATTTATCTAAAAATAGAAAAAAAAAAACAAAACTAAAAAGAAATATGAGGCAATAATGTAATCTAACAACAAAACTTAAAACAAATAAAAATTGAGATTCTAAACCATTCTCGAATGGACCTGAAGACACTAAAATAAACTTCGTTTTGAATTTCATTAAAATCGGTCCAGTCGATTAGGAGGAGAAGAAGAATTATATATATGAAGATATGTATAAAAATGTATATGTTTTATGTGAAAAGTTGCCAAACGAGTAGACGGTTCACCTGATGTTAAGTGGATACCGCCACTCATGGACATCTGCTACACCCGAGGTTTGCAGATGCGTTGACAACTTTTTGACAATTGGGCTCCGGCTACCTCACTCACCAGACGAAACGCGAAAGTATTTCTCATACTTCCACTTCACGGTGATCTTCTGTATATAAAATGTATTTACCGAAACCCCAAACAGACACCGATTTGTTGCTACCAAAATTCCATTTTAAAATTATTTGACTTTAATCAACGCTTATTTTAATTGAATCCAATTTATCACCAGGCTTGGTTTATCTTCAGACTTTATTACTTTTATTAATAACACCACAGGACAGTTTATCACAGCACGTTTTTTATTTTAGGTCTTTTGCTCGACGGTCTTTGTCCTTTAAAAGGAGTATAAAATGTTTTACTCTCTCCAGTTCAGTTCACTGTAATTACAGTAATTAGCTCTTAGAACTAAGATACTTTTAATTATATGGACATTATTTTTAGAAATTACTTACCTTCTGTTCTTTTAAAAACTTTGAGAGAGAAAACACATAGGCTATTTTTTTATTTTTTTAGGGTTGAAAATATCTTTCTTTAAAATATATTTATATAATAATTTATATTTATTTAGGGGTTCATTGTGAGCGAAGCCGCGGGCGAAAAGCTACTATTACATAATCCAAGAATAATGGTATGACCATAATGATGTCCAGGAAAGATTACATAGTCCATTTTTTCATACTTCACGTTTCCTCATCCTTTTTTGAAGTCGGTTTAAAAGGAATCTAATCTTTTTTAGTATGAAACGTGGTTCTTATCCTTTTCTAGAAGATTAAGAGCCTGTGAAATACAAATTCTCTTGCAGGTTTAGTTTATTGAACTGGTGGTAGTTTTTGACGTTTAATAAGAACTTAAAAAAAGCCTATGTCGAATAAAGAAATTTTGACTTTTGAATTTTGACTTAATAAAGTGGGCCCCGGCTACCTCACTCGCCAGGCGAAACGCAGAAGTATACCACTTCCACTTGACGCCGGTGAGCTCCTGGTGGCTTGATACCGATGCAGTAACGTCAATCCTGTTTCAGGTAAGAAAGGCGAGCAGACAGTAGCCGTGAAAACCCTGAAGGAAAACGCGTCGGAGAAAGAGCGGAGTGACTTATTGCAGGAGCTGATTGTGATGAAGAATTTGGGAACGCACCCCAACGTCGTAAGGCTGATAGGGTGTTGTACAGAAAAGGTGAGCAATTCATGTTTTTTATTATGTATCATAATGACGACCCGAATCGCGTAGTGGGTAGTGTTTGCTTCCTGCGCTAGAGGGTGTGGGTACGATCCCCACTACAGGAAAGGTATTGAGTGATGAACATAGTGTTTTTATAGTGTCTTGGTGTTTATATTATGTATAATTTACAAAAGAAGATATTTACTATATGTAGTTATTTACAAAAGAAGAGCATGTTTAAGTATGTTTATCAGTTATCTAGTACCCATAGTACAAGCGTTGCTTAGATTTTGGCTAGAGAACCTTGTGTAAAAATGTGTCCTAAAAATATTTATTATTATTATTTATTACATTGTCACAGGAGACCTGGTGGAGGGATAAATATTTACCTTCGTTTAGAAATATGTGGTATTTGTACTTTCATTTTCTGTGGATAGTAAGTCCCATGCATATTCCCGTGCATGCATATATCGAGTTGGGTAGTATGTCCTAATGATCGCTGCGATCTGGAAGATCTATTGCAGTCTTCTCTTCGAAAATAATTCTCCTAACTGTAGGAGTATCTCCTTAGTAATGACCATTAATATCATATCTATTACTGACTTTCCCGTGCAACTTCGTCTGCGCCGGGTTCGACTTTTGACATAGCGCCATCTATTGGATACTAACTAAATTCAGCCGATAAATTTACCTTACACCGCCATCTGTTAAAATCTTATGGATCTCACAGATAACTATATTTGTTGTCATCTTATAAACAAATAATTTGTAATAAAATAATATTGCGACTATAAATTGTAAGATTTTGACTATAAATTGTAAGCTATACTATCTTCCAAGTTGGATCAAGTGCACACGGTGTACAAATTTGATTAAAATCGGTTAAGTAGTTTAGGGAGTCCATCGCGGACAAACAACGTGACACGTAATTTATATATATTAAGATTTATCTAATAACCAGATGTGTAACAATTATCTGTAGGTCACACAAAACAGTCGTCTTGTACGGAAAGCGGACCCATGACTCCCGGCGTCTAAGCCAATGCCATCACGGTAACTGAAGACCCATCTATTTAAAAATTGAGGAGATATCTACATTATGTTTAATAGCAATATAAACGATAAAAAAGTTAATGATAGCCCTGACAGACGTTGCTCAGACCTCACATGAATTTAAATAAGCAAAAAAAAATTTCCCAAAGGACTTTGTTTATTATGTGCTGCAGGACCTTTGAAGAAACGTGAAATATTGGTAGGGACAAAACTTAAGCGTTTCTATATTAAACACTTAACATATTGCTCGGCTAGACCAAATCTAATTTTCACATACAAGCCATAGGGCAACGACTTCATATATTCCGATTTGGGGAATGTTATTTAGAGTTGTTGACCTTGCAGCACTTTAAACAAATTTAAAATAACATAAGGAGAGTCTATGCAAAAAAAAAATATGCTCTCAACCTTAAGTATTTGCATCACTCTTAGGTATTTCACTGTTGATTTTTTTAATGATGACAAACGAACACCATCAAGAAAATTCGAAAGAAAGTTACGAATTTATTACACGAAACAAGTTACTGTATAGAGAAACAGAAAACCAACATAAAAACTATTTCCACTCGAATAGGCTAGCCGTAGACCGTATACTTTTGCGTTTAGTCCGGTGAGTGAGGTAGTCTGTTGTTAATTTTCTTTCTAAAAGCAACTATATGTTTAATAAAGTAACTGCCTTTATATGGCACAATACTACGACAACACCTTTTTTAGGTAAGACGATTGCAAACGAGCTGACCTGTTTATTAGTGCAACAGTGAAGACTATTGCGTGACCCTACCACAGTAATAGTACAGAGTGTTAGGGCATCGTCTAGCACGCGATCCTACTGCGGATTAGCAGACCACATATTTTCGAAATATTTCTTTAACAAAAAAAAACCGACTTCAAACAGGAAACTAAAACAATTATCAACACCTATAACATTTGAGGATTGCCCACGATTTCTCTGGGATGCCAGTATCAGATTTGATTGTCCTTAATTCCGATTCTCCTTTCCTACAAAAAAAGAATCATCAAAATTGGTTCATAAATGACGAAGTTATCCCCGAACACACATAAAAAAAATATATACGGTCGAATTGAGAAACCTCCTCTTTTTTTGAAGTCGGTTAAAAGATATACAGGTTTCCTTATCTTTTCCTTCAACGCTGAGCACCTTTAATTCAGCATTTGAAATTGCATTTAATAATTTCATTGGTGCCGGCACAGAGATTTGAAATCAGTTTGCTATTTTTAATTAAATTAATCGAGCGACTCTACACTATTTAGAATACTAGCGACCCGCCCCGACTTCGCACGGGTGCAATGCTGAATGTTTGTTTTCTACATCGCAATAGAAACCCCTAAAATTATCAGTGTTTCTCTACTATATTATGCATGAACTACACATATAAACCTTCCTCTTGATTCACTCTATCTATTAAAAACCGCATCAAAATCCGTTGCGTAGTTTTAAAGATCTAAGCATACATAGGGTCAGACAGACAGCGGGACGACTTCGTTTTATACTATGTAGTGATACAGGATGGGTAAAGTGTGTGATTAACAAGACTGTGATGAAGGAAAGCGTCCGCTGTAGGAGCCCACGCTGGTGATAATGGAGTACGTGAGCTTGGGCAAGCTGCAGCAGTTCTTGCGGGAGTCAAGAGCCGGCCGTCACTATGGCAACACGCATGCCGGCAGCCAGTTCCTCACGTCTCGCGACCTCACGCACTTCGCGTTCCAAGTGGCGCGAGGCATGGACTTCTTAAGCTGCAAAGGGGTGAGTACTAGCATCTTGTCGAACTAATTTGCATCTTGCCAATTCGACGGTGCGGGAAATTGACCACCAATAGCCGAATACTATATTTATTTATTTATTTATTTGATCGTAAGTTACACTGCACATAATACTACACACCACACAAGCTATACAGCGTGTAGTTTAACTAGAATTTAATCAAACAGAAAATAACACTATAGAAATTACTACATTTTATGGAACAAAAGAAAACAAGAAAACAAATTACAGTGTTACCGTTATAGATAAACAAATGAGTTATGATTTAAAAAAATGTATAAAGGTAGAAATAGCCGGGCAGCTTGATTAATTTTAACATAACTAATTGGCGGTATCCTGGTAGAAATTCTTTACCTTCCGTGCTAGTCAAAAGACTGTGTTGCGGCAAGGTAAGGATTCTCGTTCCGGAAATACGCTCAATGAAATAAGGTCAGTTTTTTTTTAATTAGAGGTTATATTATTAAAATGAACAAAACATTATCAAAACTTGAAAAATTTATGATAGGAGAGAGTTGACCTTTTCTGTCCTTCATATTTATAAAGTATATTGCAGCTATTTCAGTTCACTTGACACTTGACTTAACACTGGAAATATATGGATGGTTATCACATCACGATCGTATTATAAATTCAGACATACCAATGTTCTACACCAAATCTATCTAGACAACTCCTAGTTTCTAAATAATAAAATTTTATTCAACGTAAATTTTATTTGGCTTACAATTAAACGAAGAAAGGCGACTAGACACCCGTTGTTGAGCTAAAAATAGTGTTTTATACTACTTTTAACAGTGTGTTCTTTATACCGTTGTTAAAGCCATAGTTTTGAGTACACGATTACAGCTTATCTCACGCCAATCTTCGATTTTTATTTGCCTGCTCATAATAACGATAAAATCATTAAGGTCACGTATTGAAGCCCATGTTTATAACGCCAACCTAAAAGAAGCTTTATTTATTCATAAATAGTATTTAACCTTTTAACCCTATTTTATTAATCACACGGTTTTTTAACCACATTGTTTAAAACCCGTGAACATTGATTTGAAAAGTCACAAACCTGTAAACTAACTAAAAGTGGCAACTGTACTTCCTTGTTCGTACTTGTAGGGTACAAGTCATAATGTTTCATTATACAGTCTATCTATTGCGTCATTATCTTATTTCCGCTCCTTACCACAGATAATTCACCGAGATCTGGCGGCCAGGAACGTCCTCATAACGGAGGAGAGGACGTGCAAAGTCGCGGACTTTGGGCTTGCGAGGGACGTCGCTGGCACCCATGTTTACGAAAGAAAAAGCGACGGCCGATTACCCATTAGGCAAGTACTGTTTGCACAGAAATAAAAAAAAACTGGCCAAGAGCGAGTCTGACTGGCGCACGAAGTGTTCTGTACCATTATCTGTGAAAAAGGCAACAAAATCATTTATGTTGTATGGGAGCCCCCACCTAAATATTTTTTATTGTTTTTATTTTTTGTTGTAGCGACAACAGAAATACATCATTTGTGAAAATTTCAACTGTCCAACTATCACGGTTCACGAGATACAGCCAGTTGGCAGACGGGCAGACGGACAGTCGGACAGATGGACAGACAGACTGACAGACTGACAGATAGCGGAGTCTTAGTAATAGGGTCGCGTTTTACCCTTTGGGTACGGAACCCGAGAAAACAAAGCAGTATAGACCATTTCACTTTTATATACTTAAGAGCACAAGAGTGTGGGACAAGTAGATCAAGAATTTGTATTTTCCTCAGCGTCTATTTCACCGTACATTATTTTTGTCGGATTTGTCTGCTAATCCTTCCAGTCTTTTTCAATACATTATGTAGACATAAGTTCGCCTAGGACGTCCGCTATCAACTTTCAAATCATTTTTCTACCTTTTAAAAATATTATTTGATATTTACCGTAGTTTGAAGCTGCAATTAAAACAGAAGTTTTTTAATCTGACAAAAACTGACACTGGTTTTATATTACGATCGCTATTAATTCATTTGTCTTGCCCGAATTCAAATTATGAAACCAATTAATGGCGGATGGCAAGCCAATTAACCGGTGCAATCTAGCTTTATTCGGTGAGACACAAATGTATCCATCCATACTTGTGGGGAAAATATAAAGTTGCGTTTATGCGATGCTGATGTGGGTTTCCCTTTATATATACATACTAGCGACCCGCCCCGGCTTCGCAGGAGTGCAATGTATTATACATATAAACATTCCTCTTGAATCACACTATCTAGTAAAAGAACCGCAACAAGATCCGTTGCGTAGTTTCAAAGATCTAAGCATACAGTCAAAGGGACAGACAGACAGCGGGACGACTTTGTTTTATACATTGTAGTGATATAAAGAAGGGAAAACTGAGTCAAGTAGTCATTGGTATATATTTTGTTTATGTACATTGCCACCTAACGTACTTGCTACCATTAAACTTCTGTACAACTGACATCTGGTTTACCAACTCAAAAAACGTGAAATATTAAATTACTCCAGTAGTTTCTTGGGGTCATTTTACTTCTTCAGTTGTACTACCTGTTCTACAGAAGTAATAATCATTTTATTTTACTAATGTAAACTATGATAATTTTTTTTCCGTTACTTTTTTTTGCTGTGTGCGTCATTTTTGGTAAATCAATTTATTTTCTTTCTTTTTTCTTATTAGATGGATGGCTCCGGAGTCTCTCTACGACGACATATTTAGCGTCAAGTCGGACATCTGGAGTTTTGGTGTGCTCCTCTGGGAGATTGTGACCCTCGGATCAACCCCTTATCCAGGATTATCCGCTGGTGACGTCATGCGGAAGGTAATCTCGAGCTTTAGTTGCAGTTGCTCTTTGAGACTATTGTTATATATACTACTAGCGATCCGCCCCTGCTTTGCACCGGTGCACTGTATATATTGTATTTTTCGGCTTTTCCCTACTATAATATGCATGTACACTAAGTACATATAAACCTTTCCCTTGAATCACTCTTGTTTCACATTGTTGAAAACCGCTTAAAGATTCTTCTTGTTGTTCAATTTGTTGCCAAATTTAATGCGTGGTTTGCACCTATAATTGAGATAGCACTGTTGTTAACATAATATTATGTGTAAATTGTCTAAATTTAGTGTTCATCTTTTGGTGTAACATAAATAAATAAATGTATAAAATAAATAGGATCTAAGCGTCCAAACATCGCGAGCGACTTTATTTTACACTATGTAAAAATGCTGTATATATAGCAATAATATACAGAGCTGAAAATTCATGTGGCAGTGTATTTTGGGATGACATACGCAACTACTGAAAGGGTTTGAAAGAAATTTAAAATGCAGCTATATAAACAGTTACAATGTTACTAATTCTTAAAAGCAAGCAAGAAAATATGATTATATTTATTAGTTAACAAATTATTATATTTTTTTAAAGTTTAATAAACAGTTTCAGAAGCTGGTCGTGTACGTATATATTTACACAAGTACAAACTGTTTCCTAACACCGTGCACCTTTTTGTGTTATGTATGACCTGTGGCTTAGTGAATGCCACGTTTGGGAGTAAAATATTCGCTGTAAATCTTGCGACCCAAATAATTTCCGCCCACCACAAATCTTACTAACTTAAGAGATGGTGTGGTATCCTGGTAAACCATTGGGTTTTGAAGAAGAGTAAATTATATATGTAACTAACTTCAGACGTGAACAAGGTAGCTTTTAATTTTTATTACAAAATATATTACGACCAAGCGAATTGATGACTCCGTGGCGCAGTCGCCAAGGTATTGGCTTCGGCGCCGTGGGTCGTGGGTTCGATTCCCACACGGAACAGCTGTTTGTGTGACCAACAGATATCGGATCTGGGTGTTTGTCCACGTGAAATTTATGTATGTAACACGTCCTTACAACAATTTATTGTTGAAAGGACGTGTTACATACATCCATTAGGATAATGTAATCCTACAGTAACAAAAAAAAACATCGAGTCTGTGATAACAACCGGCCATCCCTCGACACCAGACGTGTCTTGTGTACCTCGAGTTGTTTGAATCTGTGTATTGTACTTTACGCTGGTGTTGCTTTCGATTACCTCACTCGTCACAGCGTCTTCAAGGCAAGAGTGCATAGGTTTTTATTGAGCTAGTGCGCTTACCATCAGGTGTGATGGTAGTCAAGTGCTGGCCAGTTTCGACTAAAAAAAACTCATCGGATGAATCGCATTTGCTTTGCAAGGCCGGGGAAATTTCGCATCACGCACCATTTCATGTACGTAGCGTTGCACCGCTGGCTCTCATTAGAGTGTTTTCATTCTTTGTAATTAAATACCAGGTGCGCGACGGCCACCGCCTGGAGAAACCGGAGCACTGCAGGAGGGAGCTGTACAACATCATGTACTACTGCTGGGAGGCGGAGCCAAGCTCCAGGCCCGACTTCAAGGAGGTGGTCGGGATGCTGGAGCGCCTGCTGTGCACAGAAATGGACTACATAGAGCTGGAGAGGTTCCCTGACCATTCGTACTACAACGTCCAGAACTTGGAGGGCGAGAAGGTTTGAAGGTCCGTGTTCGATTGCAGATTCGTAATTCTACGGTGTTTGTGTATTTATAGTGTTCAAACGATGAAATGGACTGTGGCGTACAGGGCGTTTTGTTAGCCAATTGGTTAACGACGTAGTTTTATAGTTAATAAAGCCTTAATTCACTGAATACTGACGTCTACAATATTGGTACCAAAGTACTTATTTTTGTCAAACTGAATCTATACTGACTTCTTGTGTGTATGTGATCTTGTGAAAAAAGGACAATGTATTTATATACGGGAGTATATACTTTTATCCTTTTTACTTCATGACATCCCTGCTCGGTACGTTTTACGAGTAAAGGGAAGTATATTGTGTAACGGTGAACCTTCATTTCAATTAACTGTAGCACAGACGCTTTTTTGGTATCAAATAGTGTTGAAACAATGTTTTTAAATGAATGGGGACACAATTTGTATTTTTTTTATTTATAAGCTATTTTCTATTTGTACAATGTTAATGCAGCGAGTCAAATAAATATAAATTCCATGAACGCAATATTTTAATGTATATTCCAATTTTTTTTTAAATACTACCGTCACTGCACAGATACTAAACATTGTTCTGGGACTAACAGACAACAGACTAACTACATACAGGGCAGTAGTACCAATTATTATAACGGTTGAGATTAAAGATTGTTATTTATATATTTATGTTTATATATTGTTATTTATGAAGTTGTGTCATTAAAAATTAAAAAAAAATGCCAATAACGAAAGATGAAAACTACAAAGCAATACATTTGTATTATGTTTACTTTTATCAGTTGGTGCTGCATAGTATTTTTTTACAAACATAATATCATCATATTTGCGTATCACAAATAGTAATTCATGTATTCGTTACGTCCTGCCTATATGTTTTTTTATTACATAAAAATTAAAGAACGTAAAAATAAAGAAGTAAATACGACACCAAAAAGCAAAGGGTAATGGATAAAATAATGTAAAAAGTATATTAATGTTATCTGTTCATATATGTAGCAACTAGTCCTTAGAATTAAAATAATATTTACTTATTTTATATTATATGGTAGATTGATCTTAAGTTATGTACAGTGATTAAATTTCATTATTAAGTGACTGCATTTCAATTAAATGTTTTGTTCTACTATTTAACGTGTTTTATTTATTTCATTTTAGAATTTTAGTGGTAATCAACTTTAATATTCATTTTTATTTAATTACTCATAATTACTACACCTTATTACGGCACTTAAGTGATAAATTATATAGATTTTAATAAAATTTGGGCGATATCCCAATTTTCGGGACGAATGTTTTATTTACAACGCTGGTAAGTACCTACTTAAAAACCAACTGGTTTTACTTATGCACATACGTATACTGCTTATCAAATAAGAATAGGGACATGAATAAACTTGAATGACTGAGACGTATCAAGCCCAATTTTCAAAAGGTTGTCAACGCATCTAGAAACTTCGGGTGTAGCAGATGTCCATAGGCGGCGGTATTCACTTAACATCAGGTGAACCGTCTGCTCCCTTGGCAATTTTTCACATAAAAAACTGTCATTTAGTACGCCATGCAAGAATAATTAATTGTCCACTTGTAAAATTTTAAAACTTTTTATTACCTATAGTTTTTATTATAAAGTATTACCTAATTAAATTTCCTCTTTTTTTATCATTGTTTATCATTATCATTTAGTCTCTTTAGTTATACAGTTTTATTATAAACAAAGTTAATTAAATGACTAAATTTCTTTTAAACAACAGTCGGTGGAACATTTTTGGTACGTCATAAATCTATGATCTATTTTATAGGGGAAAGCTGTAGTGATGACGATGATGATTTTTCTTTCATAATTTAAATACAAAATTTACAAATGTTACTTATAATCGGTTACACTCACCCTACCTAATTGGTTTGAATTGACAGTCCTACTTTTATATGAATCGCATTGTATATAAGTAATTTCGCTCAATAAGAAATAATACATGACTAGAAGAAGAATGAAAAGTTTTTACCAAATTTTTAATATTCGTAAGTAGGATGATTGGGAGGATATGTTCATACATATCTTCTCATACCGTTCTCAAATAAACTGCGCAAACGCTTTCTGACGACACAAAGCACAACAAAGGACGCATTCATTACCTACTTAACTCCCTGCCTACAATTTCTATGTTATTTTCACTACAGAACCATGTAGTGTCATGGTCATGGTCTTCGCATATGATGTTCAGAGAGATGAATCCATGTTCAGATATTTTTAGTTTAATTGCATTCCAATTCCTCGTAATTTTGTATTATAAGATTTATTCATGTAAATACAACCAATTGTAGACTCTCAATTATTCATAACTTGATTAAGAATTGAAGTCACGCATTCCTCGTATATTTGATGTAATAAATTCCGGAGCGATCCCGTTTCTGTGTATAAAAGAAATGTTAAAAATACTGATTCCTTTCGAAGACTAAAAATATAAATAAATCCGCACAGGTAACTCGCAAAAGTAGTAAAATTTTAATGCTTTAATACTTATAGAACTCCCTTGAGTTTTATAGTCATTTTACTTGACGCGTAAAAATAATAAATTACACTTTATAATCCATACGAGCCCTTCATTGCTTTGCATGTTTAATATAAAATTTAAAAATAGTTACATAAAGTGATTAAACTAAGGTTATTACTTTTTTCGGATTAAAATTTTAGTTTTTGAGGCAACAACTCGATATCGAACTTTCCTTGAAGGTAATTTTTATTACAATCTAGAAATAAATTAGTTTTCTTGATTCAACATTCAATTTAAATTTAGAAAAATATATAATTAAGGAGCAGACATGAGGCCTAAGGATTATTCCTTACTTATTTATTGCAAATTTATTATAGTTAATAATAAATTATAAATGATTTAAAACTGTCCTGTAAGTCTGTATCGTCAAGCATAAAAATATTAATAAAATTATTGTTTGCATTTAAGAAAAAGTGATTGATCCTTATTGAACTATGGAGAATTTATAAACATCAATTGGGATTTATTAACTTTACATCAGGTGAACCGCCAGCTCTTTTGCCACCTTCTCACATAAAAAAATACTATATCCTAAAATGTATTAACGATGACGATTTTGAACGAAAACTGGAACTCAATGAGGATTTGATCTAAACACATCATCAGCTAAATAGATACACTTTTCTATCCTTTAGTTGGTAATTTATCAATTATAGAATGATTCCAACATTAAATTTTAAGTGCCATACATAGATATGTGACTTGCCTGGAATAAGGCCGTCCATTGTTATTGTTACCATCATTGTACATAAAGTTTCCGATATTAATTTTGCTTTTGGTGTGCAGTGAAGTCTATTTATTCATTACTTTGTGAGAGTTTTTTATATTACATAGTATTGGTGGAATAATATTTATCATTTTACACATACTTTAACTTCACATTAAATCTTAATTCTACAATTTCCTAATTTTTATTTATTTATTTAATCTTTATGCACACACTGTACAAAGGACATAAATGGACCTCGCCAATGGCATTCTCTACCAAAAAAATTCTCAGTCAACCAGGTCGTGTAGAGTAAAGTGAGGGAGGTGCTCAGATATTACGTGAAGAACGATAAAATATTATTCATAAACCAAATAAACATACAAATATATCAATAAATACAATATATAATATAATATAATATAAAACATTTACAAAAAACGATGAACCGATTCTGCTGACACTTGTTTAAGCATGCGCTCACGAACTTTGCTTTTAAAAGGGCCGGGGGCCTTTTTGTTAACGTAGCAATTGGTGGGTACAAAAACTATGTTTCCTCATTTTCCTTGTGTGCAATAAAGTATATTCTATTTAATTCCTAGACAAAGTTTTTTTCTAAACATTTTAAAATAAACATTCAAAAATCAAATTCCGAGTTCAAATCAGTGCCAACCCCCACGAAAATGCTAATTTCAACACTCATCACGTGCTCAGCGGTGGAGAAAAACGTCAGAAACCTGCATATTTTCTAAAAAAAATTCAAAAAATGTCGAAGATATATGAATAATGACCATCCGCAGTTGGGTCGCGTTGTGTACTATGCCTTAAAACGATACTTTATGCCTAAAACGTATCCAAGAGATTTCGTTAACATATGAATGAACGAATATAATAGTAATTCCACTTTCAATAAATGAAGATTGTACATCATGATATCCTCTTTACGAAGCAGATGACACGGATGACCTCCTACGAAGACTTATAGTGACACATTTATCAAATATGGAACAATCTTATTTAACTTTACTTGGCAAATTGGAGCGGCACTGTTGGAATAAATCATTGCAAGGCCGTTTCCTTATCATAATAATAGAGAAGGTTTTCTTCTATTATATAGTTATCCTATAGACGTGAAGACTAAGAAATTGAGGCGAGGTATCCAGATCAAAGGACCAGGGTTCGAATTCCAATGGCCACAAAATCTATATTTCAGACAAGCAGAACACTAACATATGTCAATTAACATAAATCTCTTGTTATAAAAATGTGACTAGGTTTTAAATAGGCATCTCTGTAAGTTTATCCCGAGGCTAGTAAAATAAACACAAATTGCACATTTGTTGTGTATTTCCCGAAGAAGACGCGGATAAAAGCCGGTGATTAACAACAACGGGGGACGTAATAACAACAAATCTGCAGCCAATTTAAACAATTTGTATAAATCCTTTGACTTTTGCGCCAATATAAAAGTCACTGGAGATGAAACAACAAAGAAAGATGACAACAGTATTCCTGCAAATAACACGGGTCGAACGTTGCAAAAGCTTGCTTTAGTTAGGTTGTAAAATCCGACTGACGCTGAATCCTCAATCACGTTAAAATGAAGCTAGCAGAGATAGACCCTATGTGAATGCCCTGCCAATGCCTCCCTTGAGTTCAACTGGAAGAATATAAAAAGTAAACAATCTTAAATCGTGCTTAATTACGGCCTGTGTGTTGAATTAT